TAAGTCAAACCCACTTTGTTTTCCAAAATGCATATTTTCGTCAAGTTGAAGGATTGGCTATGGGTAATCCTCTCAGTCCGGTACTTGCTGACATTTATATGCACTATTTTGAGATGAAATTATTTGATAAATTATCTTTTCGTCTTTGGATTCGGTATATGTTGACGACACTTTCGCACTTTTTGACGGTTATAAAGAGGATTTATCCGAGATTCTATCTATTATGAATTCAATTGATCCAGCCATCCAATTCACTCTTGAAATTGAATCCAACAATTCCCTCCCCTTCCTCGATATTCTTATAATCCGCAATGAAACCGATTTTAGCACCACTGTGTACCGTAAACCCTTTGCAGTTTGTTTACCACCCCATGCCAAGTCATGCCACCCTGTTAAGCAAAAAATGGCTTCTTTTTACTATTATGTTTTCCGCGCGCTAAAAGTTTGTTCCTCTGAATCTTTGCTTACCAATGAACTTAATTATTTGAGAGCAGTTGCGATTGACCGTGGATTTTCTCCCGTGATTATTGATAAAGCCGTCAAAAAATTTTCAGATTCCCATCAAAGAAGACATTCCACTGTTAGAAATAATATCAATGACCTTGTCGTGCTTCCATTTTATCCTTCTGTTAGCTATAAAATTGCACGGATTCTCCAGAAATTCAATTTTCAAGTCGGTTTCTCCCCCTATTAATAAAATTCACCCTTCGATTCTAAAAGATTGCGTTTCTGTCTTGAATTCTTGGGGAATTTATAGTATATCATGTCAGTGTGGTTTAAGATATATTGGCCAAACAAAAAGAGCGTTGAAGTTTCGTATCAAGGAACATGAATCTTATGTCAAAAAAGGGGAAATTAACAAGTCTTCAATAGCGTATCATAGCTGGACTTTTAACCATAATTTTGATTTTGGGTCTGCAAAAATCATCCAAAAGGCTTCTTCCATAGGCGAATTGGATTTTCTTGAGGCTTTTCACATTCACAAAGATTTAGAAAGTTTAGTTAATGATTTGAAGTCCAATCCAGTCCTTCCTAATGCCTTTAAAATTCTACTATCTTAATTCAATTATTTTTGCCGATAGATGGCGTTACCTCCTCGCACTTGGTACTACCAGAGGGTATAAAAATCCGTTCAGTGGTTGCTTTCCATTATTTGAAGTTCAGATTTTGAGCGTAATGTGCATTTGCCCCTCGCTCCCTATTTTAACTTCGCTAATATTTCTTTATGCTTGATCAGACAGCCTGGCTCAGTAAAAGTAGGCGGCCAGTGCAACTCTGATTAAAAATCTAGTTATAACCACGTGCAGTGCTGATAAGCACCACGTGTTTCTGTGATTCCTATTTTCTTCTTTCTATGTATTTCTTTCTCCTGATGAGGAGGGACCTTTAGCTGCCCTCGAAATCGATTGAGTGTTTCATTATACCTACGCTAAATATAAGGTTGTTTTTTACGATTTTGATTGTCACATTAGCGTGTTTCTCTTCTAGTCTAACATTTGTTAGTTTTATATGAATAGGGTTGGTATTTATTCCATGCGTTACACAGAATTAATTGCATTTTGCTTTAGTTTGATGCATGCTATGGGCGGTGAGACTGGTTACCAACTTGCTACCATAGTAATTTTTGTATTATAAATTGTGTTAAATCAATTGTACTTATTCGGGACTAATTATTGGAATTTTATGATAATGTTGTAAGCTATGATAATGTCACAATAATGCTAGGAAGGTAGTAATTAATGTTATCAGATGAAAACTAGTGTACCATAGTCGTATCTCCGTCAAAGAAATAAGATCTATTCTAGGCTAAATATTTATCTTTATATACAACTATGTACAGATTACAATTTAGAAAATTTTTAAAATATATTTTCACTACAGTAGAGCGCGCAAACCAGCGTCCGCTCTTTTCTCTTTCACATCTCAATCTCTTTTTACTCCCACCTGCAACCAGGGGTGGAAAGTCCACTCCCCTCTTCCGGCCGAGGCGAGCAGAGGGAACAAACGTAGATTCAGAATTTCATGTCATTTTTTTGTTCTTTCCTCACGTCCAAGTAGCTAGATTATACTCCGTAGAAACCTTTGCCAGTATTACATTTGTTCACTTAAAAGAAAGCTAGGTTATTTTGGCCGAGTAATGTTTGCCTCTTTTAGGATCTTTCTTTCTGCGTGGTCTTCAAGCGGCACTGGTCCCTGAATTCTGGTATTTCGGCCTGTGTTCGATCCAGGTGTAGGGATAAACTGCATGTTTAGGGTACAGACGTCCACACACACACACACACACACACACACACACACACAAACAAAAAAAAAAAAAAAAAAAAAAAAAGAAAAAAAACCTTCTGAATCCATTTTCCCGTTTTTGGGAAAAGGGTCCTTTGTTCTGTACTTACGTACAGATGTCTCTCGAAAACAGTGTTAAATTGCGTTCGATAGCGTTCAAAATGGATATTTTCTTTGAAATATGATACGAGAAATTTTTTGCGATTATAGTACTTCCTGTACTTCGTACAAAGAAGTAAAAACGACATGAATTGAATTTTTTAAAATTATTTTTCTGAGTGGCCATGGTTACTTGAAATGAGATTTAATGACTATCTGGCTATAAAACCGCCAAACACTGGAAACACTGGGTTCGAATCCTAGCAAGCAAGATGGCTGCTTCAGCGCTTTCACAGTTTTCCGTATGTTGAACACGAATACGATGCAGTTTTCCTTAATAATTGACACCACGAATATATTCCTCTCTTTAGGCAGATAACAGTTGCCTGCTTTGCCACAATCAAACAAGCAAATTAATCTGTATCAGTAATAAATTAGTTGTCTTTAATGAACACGGATTCAGGAATACAGCATGTACTTCGATAATAAATAATAACTTAAGAAATAGAAGGTGAGCGAAATATTTACATTCGAAAATTCACAAAATAATAAATAGATACTTTTATTCTCCGCAAATTATCTCCTTTTTTGGGGGGGAAGGGTGTACACGTTTCAAACAAAGATTTTTAAAACACCTAAAACGGAACCTCTTCGAGTTGTTTATTGTTTTCTTGCTCATGGTTTTCATGTTTTGACAAAAGAGAATGTATGCCTATTTGTGTAATTAGAAAGTCCTCCACGAAGGCAACCCTCCTCAAGGCTTTGACGTAATCAAGCCAACCTACCAGCCTCTTCGGATAATGTTTGTTAGAAGCCTCGTGCGCAAATCATTTAGCGAAATAGTAAATGGAATTATTATTTGAGGAATTACGTTTTTTCTTTCTTAAATAAGTGGACAAATCTGGGCGGTATGCTAATTCGCGATGAAGTTTTATCACAGCAAATGTTTTCACTATCACTTGAAATGGCCATTTATAATAGCTTATTCGATATAAAAGACTTTATTCTGTATTTTTAATTTCTGGAAATCAGTTCTTAAAGTAAGTTTTATCTTGAAATTTGCGCATCAAATTTAAATAGCACTTTATTTTTTATCTTATTTTTAGAATTTAAATTTTTTAAGTTACTGTTTCAAATTTTAAAAGTGTGTTGCTAAACTCTTATAGGTATAAGACTATTCTCTGAAGTTTCCAAATTGCCATATTTTTTATTTTCATTTTCCATAAATCGTAATCAAAATTTTTTTTATTAATAAACCTTGAAAAATACGAAAAACTTAATAAATTTCATTTAACTCCTAGAGGATGTGATGTTGCGTGGCCCCAACTTGTCCGCAACAGTAGCAGTGACTGCTATGAACTGGAAGTTACACAAACTCGTAAGAAGAATTTAATCCCTTTTTATTTCACTTTAGAACTTACAGTTGCGTTCACTTGACGCTCACAAACTACGTCGACCCGGCGGTGTAACAAAAATAGAAAAGTACAACTAAAAATAAATTACAGGATGCATAACTAACGAAGTCACTATCTAGGAGGCTCTATAATTGTAACTATCTTAACTGCGTTCTAAGATACAGCTGAGATTCAGCAAACTTTCGGATTAAGAACGTTGAAAGAATTTCAACTAACTGCCGGAGTAAGGCACACAGGCCGAAACGGCGCGGTTCTTAAAATTTCTACCTAGCAAGCCTTCACGCTCGGTGAATCAAGAAAAGCACACTTACAAACTCGTTTCCCTTTCTATTTAACTCAAATTACTTCTGCTAAATATTTTGAATACTCTGCGCATTCTACTAAAATTTGACATAAATGGACATACATAAACATAAAGGGACGTACATAAACACAAAAACATTACATAAAGGGGAAAGTAAAGGCTTGACAGGAAAGATAGTTTAAAATAAATGTTAGTTAAAATAAATATAAACCCTACAAGGATCATAAAATATGCAAAATGATGCGAGGTGTGTTAAAAAAAATCCAGCTTAGTCAAAGAAAGTGCTGTAAAGATGCGGGGATTATGTAAAATGTTAACGGATCACATCTGAGAAAGCACATTTTTGAGCTATTAAGGAAAACATTTTATTACTGAGAAATGCAGTATAAATTTGAGCGTCCACATTTAGACCCGTATTTTTCCCGTTTATTGACTAATTTTAACCTCTCGAAAATCGAAAACAGAAGAAAGTCTTAAATGAAGAAGATCCCACATTGAAAGATTCACAAAAAAGTACATATAACTAACAGTCCTAACATTACTGCACATTAAAATCCTTTAAAGTTATTAATTTCATAAATACTTTTCTTATAGGCACAGTGTACCTTCTATCTATGCGTACATTTTATGTTGCAGGTACTACGTTCCTGCATCGTAAATCATCGGCTTTTAAATCATATGTTGAAAACTCTATGGGTAGAGAAATATACGATTAAAATAATTAAATTAGTGAATAAAGACGTTATATACCTGTCATTTGAAGAAAATTATAATCGTAAATGAATATTTCGTACGTATAGTGTAAACGTATTTCTTTTCTGAGTTTTATTATGCAAATTTTTTCACGTTTCGTCATAGAGAACGATTGTATAAATATGGGTGGCAAGGAAACGCCGTTGCTGGTAGTTTTTATTTGTCATAAGCGCTGTAAGCTACATTGTGAGGTATTTTCGTTAAGCTGTTAGAAATGTCTGCATTCACAATTCGGAGTGCTTCGTTCGCTCGTGGTTTTGCTGCGAAGTTGCTTGGTAAGACCGCTAACACCCAGAACTACTGGAGACGTAGCAATGCATTTTTGGATCTTTCATCTGCAGTGCAAAAGGCGGAAAATTTTACTCCGAGAATGGACCAAAATACGATCCACTTATGTGATGACAGCTATCAGCTTAACAATATTAGATTCCCTCAAGTTTTTTTAGTGTTCGATTCGCATCGTGTTAAAGTAGCTCTTAAAACTTGCTTAAGTCGTATCGTCAATTGCAACGGTAATGGCGATTCGGATGATAATGGCGATCCTGCTGAGGAATCTGGTAGTGATGAGAACCGCAATCCTTCTGATAGTGGTCTTCCGAGTATTGAGACGGATGAGTCTTCAGACAGCAATAATGATCGTTCTAATCGTTCTTCTGACAGCGGTTTTCCCCCGAATAGGGATCCGAACAGAAATTCTGATCGTTCTTCAGACAGTCCTCCAGATGATAGTGGTGATTCGGAGTCGTCCAGCGGTCAGTCGTCCAGTGGTGGTTCGGAGCCGTCCAGCGGTCAGTCGTCCAGTGGTGCTTCGAAGCCGTCCAGCGGTCAGTCGTCCAGTAGTGATTCAGAGTCATCCAGCAGTGAGCCGTCCAGTGGTGAGTCGTCCAGCATAGAATCACCGTCTGATGTTGATATGCTCAGCGCCGTCAGCAGTTTTGATGCATCCAGTAGAGAATATTCTGAAATGTCCACATCGTCTGATCCTTCTCCTGAACCCTCTTCAAAACCTTCACCAGCCGCTGAACCCGCTTCGGAACCTGCTTCAACATCTGCACAGGCTGCTGGACCTGCTTCAACATCTGCACAGGCTGCTGGACCTGCTTCAACATCTGCACAGGCTGCTGGACCTGCTTCAACATCTGCACAGGCTGCTGGACCTGCTTCAACATCTGCACAGGCTGCTGGACCTGCTTCAACACCTACTCCTGGACCATCTCCAAAACGTAAATTATCTGATCACGTTAACCCCGCTTCGAAACGTAAAGTGACTGATGAAACGGATTCGGATAGTGATGACATCGAGGATTGGACAGGATAAGATGGTGCCCACTTTTACGTGTGAAAAAAAGAACTTTATGTGAATATTTTGTTTTAGCTTCTTATGGTAGATATAAATTTGTAACTGTTGCATCCTATACTAAGAACTTAACAAAATATTAAGAGTGAGCTTTTTATACATGTCCTGATACTTTTTATATCTGCATTAATTTCATTTGCTTTTTAGATTATTCTTATTTAAAATTTAGCTTTAATAAATTCTTATTTTTGAAAGTTCTCTTTTTATGCATTTTTAATTGCATATTGCGAAAAAGCACATTATTCAATGCACTGCTGTTGAAATCGTAAATACAAAGGATGTTACCAAATATTTTAACATCTGAATTTATTAAGTTCTTGAATAATATTTATCTGAATGTACAAGTTCTTGAATAATATTTACTTGTCTGTTTTAATGAATAGGGGTAATGTTTATTTCATGTGTTGCACAGAATTAATTGCATTTTGTTTTAGTTTGACGCATGTGAAGGACTGTAAGTCCGGTGTACAATTTTTCTTCACAAACTTTGTGGCCGTACTAACTTTTATATTTTTAAACTGTGTTAATCTCCTGTACTTATTTGGATCTAATTGTTGGAATTTTATAACAGTATCGCTAGTAACATATTAATAATAGCAAGTTTGCAATTAATGTTACCAGAAGAAAACTAGCTATTTGTGGTCTTTAAAAATTTAAACTTCTAAGGCTTTTCGTGTTAATTCTTTTAACTATAAGTGTATTTAGTTTAGGCTTTTGTGTTTGCTGAAGAAACGTCGATTCGGAATTTAATGTCGTAATTTTTTATTCCTTCTTCGCCTCCAACAAGAGATTAGCTTGCTCCATAGAAAGCTTTGACAATATTGCATGTCATCCCTTAATAAAGCTAAGTTATTTTGGCCAAGCAGTATTTGCTTGTTTTAGGAGCATTCTTTTTGCGTGGTCCTCAACTGGTACTGGTGCGAAGAGTAGGCTGCACGGTTAGGTTTCGTAGTTTTGCGTATGTCTAATGTCTATAGGAGCTAGTTTGCTTTAGAAAGTCCTCCACGATGACATCCCTTCCCTTACTCGGATAACTTTGGTACTCTGTGCCATATTGAAATAACATTGTGCACAGCCATGTAGATTTTGGTCCACGTTCGACAGTCTCGGGTGAATTGAGAATTTAGTAGCTGTATCTGTTTGGCTGCTGGTGAGTCTAAGCACCTTGGGACAAATGTATTTCAAAGGATTATTTTGTTTGTACTTCATATACTTGATGTAAATACGCTGAACAGGAAGTTGTACTGAACTGCAAAAGACTTGCAAGAGAATATGGTTCAGATCCCATTATTTAGAACTAGAATTTTGATCTCTCCCACCTCTAGTGGGCAAGTGATAAAGATCGGTTGATTTTTATTGACGTCAGCTACATAAGTAATTTTCGTGGTTTTCATGTGAATGAACCAGATTCCGCTACAGAATTCTCTCCGAAGACATGCTTTCCATAAGCAAACGTCAATTATGTGCTTTGCCTTATCTAAATAGCCTAACTTATCCGTTATTTGATGAAATTAAAGTGCGGTATTTTTGTCTGAAGTATTAACTTAAAATTTGAAAATTTAAATAGCTACATTTCTTTTTAATCTTTGAAGAAATTAAATTTATAAACTGGGCATTTATTTTGCCTTTCAACGGATTTTTAAGGGATTTGTTCATGAATTTGTGCCTTTCGGTGGTGATGTGAGTAATGATTGACTTTGGCGTTAATAGCATTGCTATATTATCGTGTCTTATTTGAGTTTTAGCCCGAGAATAACCAAGTTCATTAAACTAATGGATTTTGGATAATTTTGCAATTCCTGTTTATGGCAACTGAATTCAGAAAGTGTTCGTATGTGCGACATTACCATTCTGATTTAAGTACATATACTGTTTAAATGATTTGCAATTTTAAATTCTGATTTAAGTACATATACTGTTTATAGCAAAAATGATGAAATTAAAGTGCGGTATTTGATGAAATTAAGTAACGATGACTTGATGAATGACTTTAAATGACTCGATAATGCATATATTTAACTGTATATACTGATTTAAATTCATATACGTTTACCTAAATGTGCTGAAGTCTGTCGTAGAGCGAGTTTATTTTTCTTCAATGAGCAACGAAGTTATTAAGATTTAAACACTATGCGGGTTTAAGAAACTTAATTATCAAAATATCCCAATCTACTGTTTAGATTTTAAAAGCTTGCTCGTAATAACTCTGTTTTCAAATTCAGCTTCACAAAAGATATATCATGGTCGTGTATTCAGAAATATTTCTTTTACACCGTGGCTTGTGCAACTTTCTCAAATTTGCAATAATCACCTTCATTTGAAGAGCGCACTTTCCCTCCGTCCCGAAGTACTTGTTAAACTCCTAGTTGAGACTATACATTTGGAAGTTCGTTGTAGATCCTAGAATTACCTATAACTGGGAAGTTTCATGGTAGTTTGTGAAAAATAATTTGTTTCAGCTTTATTTCCTCCGATTGAATTTGTTAGTGAAAGAATTCTGAGACATGTTTACGAGTCAGGAAGGGAAGTACAGAAAACTAATTTTTTTTTTCAGAAAACTTTATTCGAAAGTTTAACCACCGAACTGTTCTAAAACAGAAGCTTAGTTTTCAGACCCTAAAAATAAATTTCTTCTATTTAATAATTTAACCAAAACTCTGATAAATTCATAGAATGGGATGTATTTATACTCCAAGATTTTCGGGAACCTTCCGACGAGAATTGGATTATATGGATCACAAAGCTCGTCCCGGTTATGTATCTAAAGGTAGGCAAGCCTTCATGGAGGACATTTAAGGCAAACTAATGTACAACTAACCCTTTTCCTGTGCTTTGAACTCGATTCAACCGTTTAGTGTATTTATATCAGACTGCTATTTTACCCATAAAATGCATCCCATACAGACTGTTAGAATGAAAACGAATGCCAATGGCATGAAGTGGATTTATTTCGAAATCTAGAATTTTCTTCCGTAGTTGATTACGGAAATTCGCATGTAAGCTATTTGCCTAGTAGAAAAGGGATAGACGTTTCAAGGAGAACTGATGTCATTTGTATTGGGTGGGGAGAATCTCAGAAAAACTTCTTGCAGCTGGCCACTAGTGAAATTCTACTTTATATGTTGTGTAAGAGAAATGTTAACAGTTGTAGGACATGCGTAGATGCTCCTGTTTTAGCAGATCCAAAAGTTTCCTAGTTAATCTTTTTAAAATAAGATTAAATTATTTGATTATTGCGAAGCACATTAGTTTCTTAAGGAAACCTGGCGCATATTTACATTATTGACATAAAAAAACCGTAAAGTTTCTATAAAATTTATTAGTTTGGTTCATATGTTCTAATCCGGGCTCCAAATTCTTATTTCGGAGCTTTAGAGTAACATAAATTCAGAAGTAGCCTTTAACCCTTTCGCAGTCCTCTCCTGTCCGCGAAAATTCCCCTCCCCCAGCGGCCGTCTGTTTTTCGTAGGCATTATTTCTTCCCTATAAAAATATAAATATTACATGGGCATTGCATACAAGGCATGTGTATAAGCATAGAAATACGTCAATTACAGACGTTGTCTTGTATAAGTTACATGTTATAGCTGGATATAACCATGACAGTTCTGTGCACATTTAAACATTATCTGAATTCATATTTACAATACTTTTATTGAGATAATCAAAGTAAACTTGTAATTCATTTACACATTGGCTGAATTTTCTATGCCATTTTTAACTGCTTTGCAACATTATTTTTAACAAGTACATATAATACAGGTTTTTGCTTTCACAAGCCTGTTACTATTCTACGGGGTGAGCTATTTCTCTAATGTTGATTTTCAGTTGCAGTATAATGTTGATTTTTAATATATTTGGCTTAAATTGGGTAGGGAGTTGCGTGACTCATTTTTCTGATACCTTGGCTGAAGTGCTTGGAAAAGTTGCAACTGCTATTAAAGTTGAAGTACTTATCAAGGGAGTATCTTTGTTACTGTTCATTTGCCTGGATATTACTACAAAAGACAACTATACTAATCTGCTGCTCCAGTATCTGCGAGTTGTCAGCTCAATGTACTCCACTTCTGTAAAGCTTCTCCCCACCACTTTGATTTGCTATTGAAATTATTCTGCGAAGATACAATTCTCAAGGGAGGGGTAGAATTTCTCAGTACCTTGTTGAGCATAGCCTGATCACCTCCTCCGGCCTAGTTTTCTCCTGCTTGTTGTCCCTGGTATTCTCCGCCCATTGCAGCCAGTATTAACTGCTTGGTATTTTTAAATGCAATTTGTCGGTGTGGGGACAGTTGAAGAGGTAGTGATCTGCATCACCTACCGCACCACATTCACACAAATATGAAACTCGTGTGCCGAATCTCTTGAGATAATGTGGGAAAGAGACGATGGCTAGTGTAGAATTGAGTTTGTGCACCGCTGTTTGTTTTAATTGAGCATGTAACTTTATAAAAGGACTTGTAGGTTCTCCTCCCTTGTGTGTATTAGAAAAATGTCTTTTAATCTGATTAGCGGAATAACTATTTGAGGTGTTAGCTGTTGACATTCCTATAGCAAATTTATCAAATTACATATGTAAAATATTTAGCTACCAGGAAATTACACTTTTAAGCATTAACCTTTTAATAATTCTGGATAAGTTCTTAAGAACATCACCGAAATTAGTGAGGATTGTTTTTGATAATCAGTTCAAAAGTATTAAATTGTGACCATTATGAACAGTGTTTAGGAACCATAACACAAGTAATTACATAGTGAAGTTTCGCCCACCAGCGGCCGAGCGGTAATGTCGCTAAACACTTGGTAGTTCGGTCCGAGGTTCGAATCCCGCAAACGGGGTGGCTGCATGGGCGTTTTCCTGGTTTTCCTCATGTGTAACGTGTGTACGAGCCAGTTTTCCTTGGAAATTCCTCAACGAAGGCATCCCTCCTCTTAGACAGATAGCCCTGGAGGCTTTGCCATAATCACACACATAGTGAAGCTTCTTATGTCTGGCTCGCTCGGGGTTCGCTAAAAAGCACAAATTTACCAAAACTATTACGAAAAAGATTTACTTTCTTAAATTTGAACCTCAAAATGCTGCTGTACTAATCTATTGCCTTAATTTCTTAGACATGCACATGCTGTAAGACATCACAAAAAATAATCTAAGCCGTATATATACAACTTTGCCGGTCAGAGAGTTTTAAGTTTATTTTATT